TATCCTTTTTTGTGCTTTAAACACTCTATCACTGGAGACTGAATTACCCCATAAAATAACATTATAATTTAGAATAGAATTTATTAGAGCATAGTAAACATTAATAAGAGTTTTACAATCAAGTGTAGGTTTAAGTTGCATTAGGGCATAGTAACCGCAGTTAACCCTTTTGCATACATGGTCTATGTGACTTTTCCAGGACATGTCACTGTCCAGAAAGGTTCCTAGGAATTTAGTGTTTCTGGAGCAGCCTACACTTACCCCATTAACTTATACAGTGATAGAGTGTTTAAAACATCTATCTCTGTTTGAAAATTGCAGGAATATGGTTTTTGCTGCATTTGCAATTAATTTATTTTTATTACACCACAATGTAAATACATTCGCAATATTTGTAAGCTTTAGTTGAAGTTCCTCCGGGCTCATAGCTTCTGCCACCACGGTTGTATCATCCGCAAACAGGACAGTTTTATCAGCCAATATATAATTTGGTAAATCATTTATAAATAATAAAAATATGAGTGGTCCAAGAACCGAGCCCTGAGGAACTCCTAGTCCCATGTCCCGAGCTTCTGATGATGTTTCACCTATTGTTGTATAAATAGATCGATCCTTTAAGTACGACTCAATAAAACAGGCAAAATTGCCTCTGAACCCCAAGGCATACATTTTTTGTAATATAAAATTAAAATCAAGACAATCAAAAGCACGCGAGAGATCAAAAAATAGAGCTCCTACGTACTTTCGACTATCAAGACAACTATAGATATATTCAATTAGGTCGCATGAAGCTGATTCAGTACTTTTACCGGGCTGAAAACCATTCTGACTGGATGTTAATATGTCATACTTTTTTAAAAATAAATACATTTGATTATAGATTGCACGTTCCACTACTTTACTAATAACTGTAGATATTGTAATAGGTCTGTAGTTTGTTATTAACTCGGGGTTTCCCTTTTTATAAATTGGAATAACTTTACCTATTTTAAGATTAGATGGATATTTACCAAGATGAACTGATAAGTTTATTATGTGTGCCAAAGGATGGGCTATATGTTCTTTAATGCTTTTAATAAGCTTTGTGGTAATACAATCGACTCCAGCGGCAGTTGTATTTTTAAGTTTACTTATAATTTGTATTATATCAGTATCTAAAACGTCACGAAAACAGAAAGAATTGCAAGTTTGAAAGCCTATTGTACAGGAGTTTGATAGTGAATTTTTAAAATGTGCATTAACTGAGTTTATTGCTATTGTAGCAAAAAAATTATTAAAAATACTAACCATCTGTTTTTCACTGGTTACAATTTTATCGTCAACATTTAATTTATCTAAAGTATGTTTATTATTTTTACCTGTTTTTGCATTAACAAGTGACCATATACATTTTTGTTTTTGAGCAAGATCATTTTTTGACAACATAGTATTGTAGAAATTATATTTTGCATTTTTTACGTTGGTTTTATGTATTCTTTTTTTATTTTTATATTGAGACTCTAAAGTTTCATTTTTAAAATTTGTTAATCTCCAGAGCCAGAATAGTTTTCGAAGCTCAGTTCCCTCATTTCGTACCGCTTCAGTCACCCATGATGATTTTTTGTTATTTTTTATGGTCTTAGTTAACCATGGACATGATATATTTATATGATAAGTTAAAATATCGATGAAATTTGCAAATGTGGTACATACATCGTGAGACATATGCATCACAGACTCAAAGGATTCATTCTCCAAGTTGTTAGTAAGTAACTTTATATTTTGATGACCTGTTTGCTGCCGTTTTACTGTAATATTTTTAAAATTAGTATTAATTTCAACCCTATGAAGCTCAAAACATAGACCAAAGTGATCACTTAGTTGTATATCAAAAACACTTTCATCATAACATTGGGTGGGGATATTTGTAATAAAATAATCTATTTTCGTGGTCGATTGAATTCCATTTACATTTCTAAAAACTCTAGATGGTTCAATATTTTTAATATTTAAAGCAAAACTTTCCAAAACATCTATAAAAAGATCTTTATCCCTGGATATTTTTAAATAGTTTATATTTAAATCTCCGCATAATATTACAAATTTATATTTTTTTACTATATTTTTTAATAAGTAAGTTAACTTATTCAAAAATATCTCAATTGATCCTACAGGAGAACGATAAATATTTACCAAACAGTACCTCTCAGAATTGATTTCAAAAGACAGCCCACAACATTCAAAGTGAATTTCAGTTGACATATTTTCAGTAATATTTAGGCTATCATATTTAGTATCTTTAAAAGAATAAATTAAAACACCTCCGTGGCGGTGGTTTTGTCTAACAAAGTGACTAGCTATTTTATAGTTAACTAAATTAACAGTATTAATATTGTCCGAGTATGTTTTATTATAATAATATTATAGAAATAAACGGTTTATTTAGATACCTACAAATCTTTCTCTATACAGCGCAAATTTTCCCACTATGATGCGCAAAATTACCCTGATAGGTGGGTAATTTTGCGCAAATGCAATATTTAAAAAAATGTAGTTTTTGCATACCAAACATTTTTTTTATAAATTGCGCATTATATACACATAGTAGACTATCGCTGGTATTAATTGCAAAATTTCACATTTAAACTTAACAAAGATACTAGAGATTTTGCTTAGATGCGCAGAATTCCCCCACCTTCCCCTATATTCATGGAATTGTAAATTCTTTAATTGCTGAATGCATTATAATTCTTATGATATAAGAAAATTTGATAGTGAATATGAGTTTAAAATAATAAGAAGCAGTCCTCATTATCCTAGATCAAATGGGCTGACTAAAAAATTTATAGGCATTGCCAAAAATCAACGGACATTAATATATGTTTACTTGAGTATAGGAACACGCCTATAATTGGTGTAAATCTAAGACAAATTCTAATGGGTAGATTATTAAAAACAAAATTCATTAACTTTAATTTGTTAAAACTAATAGTTGGATAAACTAAATTTTGGCAAAACCGCAAGGGAAAAAAATTGAAAAGGGAGATAATTTATTATAATAAATATAAATCTACTATAGTAGAAAAAGATAAAACGTGGGAATCTGCTAAAGTTAAGGAGAAATTATAAGATGTTCCCAGATCATATTTAATAAAAAATAAAAACAATAAAACATTGAGACGAAATAGTATTTATTTAAGAAATAGATATAATGAGACAAGGTTAAGCAACCAGTACCCGATTTTGACAATAACCAGAATATGTCCTATGAAACAATGAACAATAATGATCAGAATGTACAGATAGGTAGGTCTAGAAGAGAAATAAAAGTGACAAAAAGATTTGACGATTTTTAAATGTATTAATTTGAGCTTGCCTTTATGTAGGTTTTGTAAGAGAAGTTAATTATAAGGTTTGTTAGGTAATAAAAAGTATTAGAAATTAAAAATATAGATGTCGCTCGTTAGTGTAACTTCAGTAACTTCAGTAGGCACCACTGAATAAGTTATGAATAAGTTGTAATGTAAGATGGTGTACATTTGTGGATATTAAAATAGGTACTTAATAAAAATAACAAGTTCTTCATTTAAACAACAAAGACTGGCTGACAATACAAGTATAAAACAACAATTTTTTTGTTTAGCCTGGGTGCGGGATCGTTGCCTTTCATTTAATTAAATATACCTGTTATACTTCTTTGAAAAATATTTAGTCGTTTAGGTTCCTTTTTTATTTTAAAATAGGGAAAAATGTCCAATTTTTGTTGCAGCTTGTTTTTTTATTAAACATAAAATAACATAAAACTATAATATTAAATTTAGTGGATTATTTAAATTTTCCTTGGTTAAAATAGCGCCAAATTTGAATTTAAAAGTTCTACAGGACCCTTACAGTTTGTTTTGAACACAATCCACAATCCGATTGTGGTCAGCGTTGCCAATGATACGATAATTATCGTATTATACGATAATTTCGAGGTCTGATGCGATTGTAATTTTTCCTTATACGATATCCGATAATTATACGATAAATATTCAGGATTTTCCTTTAGCGAAAACTGCGCAAAACAAGGCTGCCTCTGTCCCGAGCAAAGGCCATTTAACAAAAAAAGATTCGACAGTACGGATTGCGTTTTAATGTAACCTTAAATTTTGGCCCGTACATGATATATTGTTAGTATCCGTAGTGATTAAAAAAACGACCATTAGTGGATTTTATTAAAATATAAGCTAGTTTTAATTTTTTGGATGATACGATCGTGCATACGATATTTTTTCATATAGAATACGATCCGATACGATAATTACGGCGGGTTGGCAACGCTGATTGAATCTGATGATCAGATGTAGATTCTACAGGTCAACATATTACATACCAAACTTACAGATACATAAATCTATTGCTTAAGCTTATATTTTTAGTATATACCTAGATGGCACTTAAAAAGTGTCCTCATATTTAGAGAGCTCTCTAAATATGTAAGTATTCTATGTACACATGAGCCTTGGTTAAATTTAAATAGCGCCAAATCTGAATTTAAAAGTTGTACTACAGTACCCTTACAGTATGTTATGACTTCTACACTGCCCAACTATGGAGAAAGGCAGTAACTGCTAAACAAGAAATTTGTGGGAAATTAGCATAAACTACATTTTTATAAAAAGCATTATATTAGGTATTTAACTGATTTATTTAACTTATAAGATAGTTTACTGCATTTCTTTGTTGAATTAAGATACAAAATGTCCATAGCTTTATCATAGCAGAAGAAAACGCATTTAGAATTGTTTTGTAGTTACTGCCTTTCTCCCTAGTAGGGCAGTACAGGTCAACATATTACCATTGATATTACATATCAAACTTGTTTCAAAAATAAAATTACATACAGAAATCTATTGCCTAAGCTTATATTTTTAGTATATAGATGGCACTTAAAAAGTGTCCTCATATTTAGAGAGCTCTCTAAATATGTAAGTATTCTACACATGTGGTTTAGGACCAGACCTGACAGATGTCAGTAGGTTACTTTTTTTGACGGTAACAATTTTCTAACCTCATTTTGATGTAAACAAGTAAATTAAATGTGTTAAATATCTTTAAAAATGTTCAAAAACACATTTCAAAGTGGCTTTCTTTCAATTTTATATAGCATAGGTAGTAAACCCTTACAAATATGGGACAAGAAGACTAAAAATGGGCACATAAAACGTATTACAGACGAAGATATTCAATCTCTTGTATTAGAATTGGTTGGTTGTAATGTAAGTACGACTTACATTACATGTCCGGCAGATCCCAAGCAATCGTTAAGCATCAAATTACCCTTTCTTGTGATGATAGTAAAAAATTTAAAGAAATATTTTACTTTTGAAGTACAGGTTAGTTGAAGTTTAATCAATATTGGTAACATAAATTAAATATTGATTATTTTAGATCCTTGATGATAAGAATGTACGTAGAAGATTCAGAGCTAGTAACTACCAATCAACAACACGAGTAAAGCCTTTTATTTGCACCATGCCGATGAGGCTGGATGAGGGATGGAACCAAATACAGTTTAATGTAGCAGATTTTACTAGACGTGCATATGGAACCAATTATGTGGAAACCTTGAGGGTTCAAGTACATGCTAATTGCCGAATAAGGCGAGTTTATTTCTCTGATAGACTGTATTCTGAGGATGAGTTACCAGCTGAGTTTAAATTATTTTTACCCATACAAAATAAGACAAGAACGGCTGTTACTACCAACTAAATTGGGTTTATATTAAATTGACTAAATTGTGGTGTAATTTTATGTGAATATAATGTATGAATTAAGTATTTCTTTTTTAATAAAACAATTTTGATTACAATTTTTATTGTCATTTTAATAACCTAGTTAATTTAGATTAAAGAATGAGTTATTCTTTTGATTTTATTAAATGTTTAATTTAATTTATTGTAATATTTACTTTACCAAACATATATTGGGAATAAGACAGTATGTAGGTCCCACATTAAAAAAATTACTGTTTGTAATAATAGTTATAACTGTATACAGTTAATAGATAACAGTTATTATTTTTTATTATTTATTTTTATGTAATTACACTGTATTAATACAGTGTAACCACAAAACAGTTTTCCCAACTGGTGGGTAGCTATAGCTTTGTGTTTTTAATTTATTTACCCCCCTTTTATTAACATACACGGTATACAAGTCAAAATTTTTTATTTATTTATTTAATTTACTTCCCGGACAACAATCGGGATTTTCTGGTGAAGTCATGATGATATCACAACGTGATTTTTTTTATCACGCTGTGATATCCTGAGTGCATACACATGCTTCATCACAGTGATATCATGTAGAACTCACGGTGTGATATTTGCAAAATTTGCGCATGCGTATGAGCCCTTCGAAGTGCGAATTTAAAAAATCATGTCGTGATTTTTTATGACCAAACACCGGTGGCATAAAAAGTCATGTCGTGATTTTTTATGCCATCGGTGTTTGGATATTTATTTTTGCGCAACATTCGTACATTGAGAGAAAAAGTATACCTACTAGGGGTGTCAATCCCGAGCCCATTTTCCAATCCCGGGCCTTTCGGGACCAAAGGTAACAAATCCCGGGATCACTCCCGAAAAAATATATATCATTAATTTTAAAACCAATTTAAAATAAAATAACAAACAAATTAACAAACGATATCTTTCGGACTTCACACTAGTCGGAAGAATGGTTTTCAAGAATTCGTAGGCACATTCCCAAGTAGCACAAACGGTTAAATAACTAGTATTATAAGTAAATTAACCGAAATCTATAGATTTTAAAAAAACGTCATTTAACTTATAAGTTAAATGACGTTTTTTTAACTTGGTTTTTTAACCAATTAGTTGAATTATCCAATTAGTTTTTTTTACGGTTATTATAAACTAAAAAAAAACCTTTAAATTAACCAACTAGTTGCTATTACTTAATTTAAAAGTTATTTTTTACTATAATTTAACTTTTTAACTGATTTAACTGATGAGTGAAACAATACTTCCAAGTTAAATAAATGGTTAATTTTTAGTTAATTGTAACTTTTAAATAACCTTAATTTACCTTAGTTAATAAGTAGGTTATTTTAGAAGTTATATTAACTTTAAATTTTAACCAATAAAACTGGTAAATAGTAGTTAATTTTCTTGTTATATTTTGGTTCATATTAACTATAAATTGAACCTTTTGGTAAGTTAACCACAGTTTTGGTTAATTTGACTATATTTTTTAACCAACAAGTTGCATTTTACCAAATGTATTTTAACTAAATGGTAAATTAACCAGTGTTGCCAATGAACATTTGTTAGATTGCACGGTGAAGTGCTCCAAAACGCACGGTTTTGCACGGTCCCAGGAATCAAAATGCACAAGTTTTGCTCGCAGTATTTTTTGTTTGTGTTATAAAAGTACTATTTTTTTTAAATTTTTAAGCATTTTCATAGAAATATTGTTTCTATAATAAATGGGCAGTGGCGTATAATTTTCTAAAAAATTTTAATGTGGTGTGATTTGGGGGTAAGTTTAGATGAATCAGTACTATCACTCTTCAATCATTATGTTACTATGGTAGTACTACTACCTATACCTCTTTACGTAGATGTATACCTATTAACAATTAATGTTTAATGTTCTTACAGTAAAAAAAATATGCCTTCTTCTCTACTAGACTAGTGACTAAAGTGTCTTAGGCGCCTGCTCAGTGAGACGACACTAAAAATCACGGAAACCTCGGAAGTATTCGGCCGTTTCCGGAGGGCAGCGAGAAGCGGCTGGCGGGAATTTTGATTTTAAATATTGTTTTGGTTCGTTCTTTATTTTTAGATCGTATAATTATATAGCCTTCAAAATAAGTGATGATTTATTAGGTTTATTAAGTATAATAAACATAACAAATCATTACTTTTTTGGAGAATTTGTTAGATATAATAATTTACACAAGAAATATTAAGAATATGATTCTGATAAGGCTGATTTGCATTCTCGTTTTAAATTTATATCAAAATCACTTGCTTTCGGATGTTTAAACGTTTTTTGTTATTTGTATTTCTAAGGACTTCAACCTATTTCATCTTTGATGGTGGAAAAATAGAAATTGTTTTATTCTTTGCAGGAAAGTGGCATGCATTCGAATTTGGTGTACGGTTAACGCAATCGAAATTTTGTTTTCACATAGATGTTTAAAATTAAAAAAACCCTTCTAATAAAACCAAGTATAGGTCAGAAAAATGTAACTACCCCATTGAAGATCAGCTTTAAAATTTTGAATACAGTACATAGATGAGCAGTAAAATAATTTTTGTTGTGCTAAATTTAAATTAAGTTTTAAGAAATCCGCGATTTTAAATACAACCCATAAGAAGAAAATAAAATAAACTTATGGATGTTTTTTTTAAACCAAACATATCATTTAGGTATATACAATAATTGTTAGCTTACACATATGTGTACATATAAACATAATATTAAAGTTCTTTATTTAAACTTAGTTTTAAAAAATCCGCAGTTTTGATTACAACCCATAAGAAGAAACTGCAAGAAACTTATGTGTGCTTTTTTCTTTAAACCAAACTCATCAGTCAGGTAAAATACAATAATTGCTAGCTTACACCTCTAGGTACATGATATAAGTATATATTTTAATTTTCCTAGTACTAACTAAAAATTACACTTTATACATCTACTTAAATAAAACCAAAACAACACTACAAAACTACAAAATAAATTTAAAATTAATAATAATACTAATTTAAAATTTAAAATTCTTCTTCATTACATTATGTTTCTTCATGGCCTACATGTGATTTCCAGAATTTTACAGTAATCTCTCCTACAATTAAAATGTTGATATTATCTCAAATAGATTCATATTTTAGGGTTATATATAAGGCATAGTATTCATGTCTACTCATATACTTTTTAGGCAAAAGAATAATATTTTACCCTTAAATTTACCTGTTTTCCAAAGCTTTATATTTAAATGAGATGGGCGGGCATACTCCATACAATTTAATTGAACCACCAGCCTTCTCCGTTCTTTTGGAACAATTGCTGCCATGTCCTGAGGATAACAGAAATATTTTGTAAAATAAAGTAATAAAAGGTGAACTTAATATTTTACCTATTGAATTACTACAATTGCAAGTGTAGGATTTTTCTAAATAATCATTAGATCTTTTTGATCTGGCCGATGCATAAGTTGTCTCAATTTTCTGTTGATCAAACCACAGTTCATAACTTTCTCTCGTTGCAAAATTATATGTAAGTATGCATTTCTATTTTTATTTTATGGTTTACCTCCAAATGTTTTTCCAGTTTATTATAAGTACACAACAGTGCCTAATAACACGGGAATCGCCAATAATTATTGTCAGACCTCTCTGGATTTTAAAACACATTTACTAATAAAAAAAATAGTCTTATAATAAACAAAGCCTTGTAATAAACAGAGATTTACTATCTGAATAAACAAAACGAATAAAAGCAATAACATCAATTTGAGGTTATGAAATAACCGTTTTTTCGTTTTTGGCGCAAATGATTCATTAATTTGAAATGAATGACGTCAGCCGCCGAAGCTCTCCGTAAACAGCCGAATACTTCCGAGGTTTCCGTGATTTTTAGTGTCGTCTTGCTCAGAAGGATTCTACCCATAAGCATTGCTCACGCCATCTTTTTTGTGACTTAGGCACTATAAATACCGGCAAATTTAAATTTGTACTGCTGACCCCGCCCACAATGTCAAGTTGCCAAGTTTCTAATTGCATTTTCATTTTTTTTTTAATTTAATGTTGCCAAGTTTTTAATTGGATTTTAAATATTTTTTTTTATGTTTTAATGTCGTATGTTCAAAACGTACGCAAAAGGCACGGTTTCTCACGATGTTCGCAAAATGCACGGTCAGGCATGAAAACGCACGCAAACCGTGCAATTGCACGGTCATTGGCAACACTGAAATTAAGTTAAATTTAATTAACGTTAATCAACCAACTCGTTAATAAAGTGATGGTTTTGCAGTTTTCATTGTTACCTACATTGAAAAATAATACTAGGTACCAGAAATAAAGCCTCTTTATAAATAAACTTTGAACGCCACCATAGAGAAAGGAAAAAAGTCTATGTAGCAGTGTTACCAACGCCTTATAACCAGATAATCCGTTCCAACCTGTAAAAAAATCCGAAAATATCAAAAAAAATCGATTTACATACGAGGTGTGAACAGAAAGTAAAAATGCTTTTTTATGGATAGCAATTGTTAACGACCAGAAAAAAACCTCGTTCGATAGGTTATAAGCACAGACCACATGTGGTCTGTGGTTATAAGTGTCTATTGCAATTTTCAAAGTGTCTTATGGCGGAAAATAAAAATAAAACCTCAAACACTTTCTTTTTCCTGTGTTTTACAACAAAATTAAACATACGTAGATAAAACAAACGTAAACACTTTTAAAATTTAGCTTTTAATTAGAACACAACATAAATAACATTTTAAAAAATACTCAGCATTTTAACTAAAAAAATTAACAAAGGATATAAAAAAACATACTTAAACATATATAAAAATATAAAAAAAGGTCAAGTTCCGTTTTATCCAAAAAAATCCGTAAAAAATTCTCCGAATTACAAAATGCGAAAAAAATCCGATTGTTCAAAAAAAATCCGCAAATCGGATTTTAATCCGCCGCCGATTGGCAACACTGCTATGTAGTACACACCATAGAAAAAGAATATAAGAAGGGCGACCACTGTGTTAAACTTAAGAAACACAAACGTCATAAACGCCTGTCAATTAGGGCCGTACTCCAAGTATTTT